TGCCCGAAGGCACATAGCCTTCTTGCTTCGTGGGCAAGGAAGCCCACCACACCGTCTCCTGCCTATCTCCTGGTTCTGCTGCCTCTGCTGCAGCTGTTTCTCTGCCACTGCTTCTCGTCGTCTCTGATGTTACAGCTCTCCCTCTCTGTCTTCTGTGTTACAACTCCTCTCTCTCCCCCACCACCCTCACCCTGTGTCTGCCTCTAAGCCTGGCGGATGGCAAAACACACCAATCCCCTCATTAGAGTTCCATACACCATATTTGCAAGATCCTACCCCCGTAAGGGTGCCATGCACCTTATTTACATTATTAATAAGCTATCCAATCCCCTTGGTGGGCCACAAGCACCTCATTTGCATAGTCTGAACCATTCAATTGGTTGGAATTACAAAGATTATGGCTAAAAGGGCCACCTTAAGAAATTCACCACACCGCACCTAAATACCTAGGGATGTAACCTCATTTGAGTGTAGGGTCTTCTTTGTTATGTTAATGAGACCTTATCCTATAGAGTATGTCTTAAACCTAATCACTTCTGAGTTATAAAAAGAGCAGATTATAGACACAAAAGGAAGCACAAACAAGGGAAGATAAATGCCTCCTGAAGACAACCAAGGAACCAAGGAATGCCAGAACTACAGAAGATGAAAGATACAAGACTCATCCCTGAGAGCCTTCCCCTAGAACCAGTGCCCTGAATTCAGACTTCTAGCCTCCTGAATTATGAGAAAATAAACTTCTGCTCTTTAAAACTACCCACTTGTGGTATTTCTGTTACAGCAACACTATATAACTGAGACATCATCTAATAAGATATTTAAAAGATTAGAGAAAAAATAAGACAGGACTGCTTTCAGAGTTTCTCCTGATCTCTCTCAAAAGGCATAACTGAACACTTTCTTTAATTCAATTAGTCATTGCATTCATTTATCAAATATTTTTGTGCACCTATACCTGGTGACTGTTCATTTACAGCAATGAACAAAACAGACAAAAATCCCTGCCCTCGTGATGTTTACATTCTACTAGAAGGAAGACAGAGTAAAATATGTAGCATGTTGGATAATGATACTAGTTAAGGACAAAAATAAAGCCAAAATGGGTCAATCAGGGAGGTGTAGAGTAGGGGTAGGGGAGAGTTTGCCTCTGGGACAGAAGAGATGATCTGAAAGTCCTAAGCTTCTTGTGGACACTGATATAAACAAAAATAAAGGGCATAATAAGACGGTTGCTAATGGTTTCAAAACAGATAATGGTTGTTGATGGTAAATTGTGAGCACTGAGGAGAAGGAAGAGGTGAAGAATATTTCCAGGGACATGCGCAGTTCTTTTTTACTCTGGAGTACAGGCCTAGAAGGGAGTGTTATTATCCAGAGCATGGAAAGTTTCCTCTTGATTCCTGCCTATGGAGGATTAGAGGCCAGGAGAGGGGAAGTCCTACCTGGGCTTGATCACGAAAGTAAACCAGGTTTCTAAAAACACTGTATGCTCAGCCCCATAGTCAATCTCACTTCTCTGTGAGAAGTATGATGAAAAATATCTTGGAAAGAAAATGGAAGGAGGAAGCAGAAAAGAAGACAGGTAGTAACAGCTGAAGTAAACATGAGGAACCTTAGCAGATGGGAAACCTTATTTGTACCTTTTTAAAAAGGACTCATTTTCAGTTCACCATCCTGTGGTTTAAAGCAATTAATGTGGATTCTCCTTTTTACCTTCCTGATGAATTAGCCAACTGAAAAGTACTGTGTTATATCAAAAATGTTTCCACCTCTCAGTTTTCTTCAAAATCTTTATCCCCTACATGTAACAGAAGGTTGAAAGAGTTCATTTTCAGGGGAAAAAAAAAATTGGAATGAACTTAAAAGGTCCTTAAATCAACTTCCCCGCAATATCACCTTTCTAAACCTAAGAATATATACCCAAGAGTATCTAAATCCTTACAGTGTTTCTAAAATAAAAACAAAAAACAACTGCTGTCAAGTAGATTCTGACTCATGGCAACCCATGTGTGTTACAGTAGAACTGTGCTCCACAAGGTTTTCAATGGCTGATTTTTTAGATCTCCAGGCCTTTCTTCCAAGGTGTCTAGGAGGACTCAAACCTCCAACCTTTTGGTTAGCAGCCAAGCATGTTAACTGTTTGCACCACCAAGGGATTCCGCAGTATCACTACAAATGTGGAAAGGACAGATACTACAGATTATCTGCCTCTTTAAAAAGGAAATATGAAGTATAGGCAGTTATGCAGTTTCTGCTTGATATCACACAAGTCATTGGTAGTGACCTCAGGTCCTTTGAAGGGATCAAGACTGAATCCACGTGTTAACAGTGAAAATATTTTACAAGTGTCATTTTTATACAGAGCAACAGCTAAATAGGTTGAAGCCCATGTTATAAGTGACTATAAATCTGGAAAGACTTCCCTAGATTTATTCAACACAAGCTAATGTCCTCTTTATAGACCAAAGAACTGACCTGTTCGTAACGATTCTACAAGAACAAATGCAAACAAATCTTAAATAGTTACAATAAGAACAAAAGGGACTAAGAAACTGCAGGTAAGCGAATACATACGTAACCCAATAAAATTAATCAACCACAGCAGTGGCTCCCAAATACTGATCCATGATGACGTTTCCACCAGTCCACGGTGAAATGAAAATATAATGACAAGGTTGTAAATTTTTCATAAGAATAATTTACTTAATCTATAAAATTGTCCTTAATTCTAAAAGTATAGACATCCTAATTTGTTGGTGCTATCATGAAAGGGCCACGATAACAAATGATTGTGGAAGAGAGGTTCTAACGCCCTAACTTGACAAAAAAGGAAGTTGATTAATATACTTGGTCCCTCAATTCATGTGTGTCCCTCAATTTCAGCTATGGGAGTGAAATCCAGAATAATGTGATACAGAGCACTGCACTCATGGAGAAGTCAGACAAATTTTGCTTAACCAAATAAAATTTGAAAGATAGTTTCTGATACAGAGAAGAATAAAGACAGTATCTAAATAGGCTTTCAAAAACCAACAATAATGAATTTTGTCCATAACCTTTTTGATGGCCACAAGTTGGCACATTTGGATTTAACTCACTAATATACTTAAAGCATTACATGTGTTTTACAAATTCAAAATTACATAAAGAAACCCGTGTGTACTCAGTGGTTTTATAGTTGAAAGCAACTGCTGAACTGTTACATTTCTCAATTTAAAACAACACAATCGTATCTTTCAATATTCTAAATATCCATCTGCTAATGTAAGACTTCCATCCAATTACATTTCTACAAGAGAATTGCTCTACAAGGCATTTCACTTCAACTGAAAATGTCAATTTCATTAGAGGACCTTTAAAATTTTTGAATGTCATTTGGCTTTGTCTTGACTGAACAAAAATCAAACCTAGACACGAAATATATCTTACATAACATTTACTTACTTACTGTTTACCTACCAATTGGAAGGTCTTAAAGAGTAGGGTAAATTTATTTCAATTACAGCTAAATGAAGTTTCTCTGTTTTTAAACATGCACCAGATTTATTCCATCATAACCAGATGGCTGTTCCAAGAATTTCTTGAAAAAGACACTTGCTGCACATAAAACAAAGATGATGTGCTAGGTGCTATGCTTAATTCAGACTATGTTGTATATTGATATGAATTTTTAAATTGAATTTGAGTGGACAGAACCAGAATTAGCTACAGGTGTCACTATCATAAAACAACAGAAAGCATCTTATTATAATGCAGTACTACACTTACTACAATATTTGAGTTTTTAAATTACCTTAATTTTCTCGACGAATATTTGAGGTAGCTTTCTCTCCTATCTACACTAGCTTAGGTAGAAGTGTATACATACTTCTTAACCTCTGCAACACAGACAAGGCTTACTACTTGTATGATGAAAATTCAAACAGCCCCTCATATTTTAATTGCTCCTCAGGCTATTCTTTTTGGTGTAAGACCACTCTATTAAAAGTCTGTCAATTAATAAACGTGTTGCTCAGTTAGTGGCAGAGAAATAACTGTATGTTACTGGTTGAGTTAAGGCACCCCATAATTGCAGCATTTAACACCTACTGTTGCTCCTAATGCCACCAGGTCAACTCAGGCTAATGAGTTCTCCAGGTTCCACTGTCTAACACAGGCCTATCAAGGTGAGCATTCAGCAGTGGAGCCTCCAAAAGAATTCATCCAACCACTGTACTGGCTTTTCATATATAAACAAAGAGCACTGATTTTCAGTTCTTTGCCACAAGGAAAGGCACTGAAAAAAAAGCATTACGTAATTTTGGAAAGAATACCCCTTCCCTTTTTTACAGTAAATCCTAAAGTAGATCAAACATGCTACTTATAAAGATACTTGTTCTGAGCAGTACTGTTATCTCCTGACACATGATCAAGTTTTCAGCCCTGTTAAACCAAGAAAACCCTATGGGGCAGGTTATACTCTGTCACACAAGGTCGCTCGATGGCACCCACCATCAGCAACAAAAGTATCAGAACTGCAGCACAAACTGAGCCATAGTGTGAACTAGGGCAAAAGACTATATCTTTGGCGACACGAGTTATAAAATCAAGTGCCTGGGGATCAGTCAACCTGAAGAACACCCCAAACGATGCAGCCCAAACTGAGCGAGACGCCCCGCTCCGTGTTCGCCCCGCCTCCCAACCAAAGAAATCAATCCGCGTGCCAAGGACCCAGGAGCGCCTAATAACATCCTCGCCCCAACTCCTCCTCAGCACTGGGATCACCGACTCACTGGCCCCACGAATATTTACCCTGTTCTTCATACAACTCCCCACAAACCTTGACTCCGGCTTTTTCAAGCTCCCACTACCCAAAATAAAGTTCACAACATCGTAATAGCGTTTTCCTTCAGAACTTAAAATCCCGACCGCCTCCTTCGACCAGGGCCTGCTTTCCCCAGTCACCTAGGAGGGGGAGCGCCTCTTGCCTTTGGTCCCCCTGCCCAGTCCCTCTAACTCACAAGCTGGAGGTGTCTGGAGGCAGCGGGCCCGACAGCGCCCTCCAGCTCGACGCGGGCAGTTTCCTGCGGCTGCAGTCCAGCAGAGAGAGGCGGCAGGAGCAGGGCGCGGGACAGAGGCCTGCCCGGGCGGTCGGCAGCAGGAGGAAGACAGCCTGGGCGAGGAAGAAGAGCCGAAGAAGTGGTCCGAACCAAGACCCCAGCAGCAGCTCCTCCCGAACGCCTTGGGGCGCCGGCGCCATTTTCCCCCCGGACCTGGACTGGGCCGAGAAGAGCCGCCAGCTGGAAGAGGCGGCTTGGCGGAGACGTTTGGTGGCTGCGCGACCACCCGAAGCCCCGGCTGTCGCCTGTACCCTCAGAAGGCAGGGGAGGGGCGGATGCGGCGCCGCGGCGGGGGCGGCGGCCAGGGAGCGTTGACTGAGAGGCCTTACGGACACCCCTCCTCGACCCGCCCCGCGACGCAGCGTCCTCACGCAGAGTAGCCAGCCAATCCGTGCTACAGAATGAGATTGCGTCGGGGTGGGGCTCCGTGAGGGGGTGGGACCGGAGACAGCCGAGCTCTTTAAGGAGAACCGTAAGGTGTCCTACGCTGTCGGGTGACCCTGTAGTGATATGTCACCGTTCCTCAGCTGGAGAGCGCAGGTTCCTTTAAGGAAGCGATACGGGGAAGCGCTGGGAGTCCGAAGTTCGGACTGCGGGTGTATCTACTTTAGTGGTAGGAGAGGATCTTTTATATTTTCTGGGCTCCGGGGAAGGGGAATGTCTGAAACGCTGCCTTCCAAGTTTCGCCCAGGGCAATGGGGAGCGGCGTTTCCATCCTGGCTTTGGTCGGGTCAGCCTCCAGAGCCCAGCTGGGGCCCCTTCTGCCCCCTGCTGCTTGTCTGCTGCTCTTGCAGTCCTGCAAATTGGCGGCAACGCCCACTCTCCTAACACAAACATGTCACTATCTGTTGATGGGCCCACAAGCTCCTGAAAGCAGGGGCCCTATTTATTAATTTATGCACCTCTTGCTTCTATTCTAGTTTGGAATTCAATAAATATGGATGGGACCGCAGCCGCAGATGTGTCTCTAAGGAAAATACTGTACCTTTCTTTCCTCTCTTTTGGAGGATGCTGTTCTAGATAACACACTCACTCTCGGAAGAGCAAGTGGGACACGTTGATTAAAAAGGGTACAGCAGTGAGCAGTCAATAAAGTGAAGGCTAGTGTGAGAAATTTTTTTGTTTATCCTGAAGCAGAGGCTCTAGAAAACTTAGTAGCAAGAGTGAAGTGTGTCTACCCCATGCTCACTCAACCATGTATTATATTCAAGGTTATGAATAAGACTTTGAGAATAATAGTGATGGTAGTGGAAATGATTACTGCACTTGGCTGCTAACCAAAGGGTTGAAGGTTCGAGTCCACCCAGAAACTGCTCAGAAGAAAGACCTGGCAATCTACTTCAGAAAAATCAGCCACTGAAAACCCTATGGAGCACAGTTCTACTCTGACACACATTGGGCAGCATGAGTCCCCGAGAAGGCAACTGGTTTATACTTTTCAAAGAGCATTTGCATCTGTTACCTTGTTTGGTCCCTCAAAAACCAAAAACAAACAAATCAGTTGCCATCAAGTCGATTCCAACTCGTACTGACTTATCGGACAGAGCAGAACTGCCCTATAGGGTTTCCAAGGAGTGCTGGTAGATCTGAACTCCCGACCCTTTGTTTAGCAGCTAAGCTCTTAACCACTATGCCACCAGGACTTCATGACTGCAAAATGGGCAAATCAGTTATTGCTGATGATGAAACAAGCCTAGAGAGGTTAAACCAAGTTACCTGAAGGCAGATGCAGGGTTGGCATGAGTTTGCAGGTTTTCTAACTCTCTTAGATTGAAAACCTGAGCAGGTTAAAAAGATGATGCCGAAGTCATAGACTTGTCCTGGGAAATAACTGAAATCAAACTTTCTCATGGCAGTTGGGAGCCACAATGATGCTTTTAAAAGTCTTTTTTTCTTTTTTTTTAATATTGAAATAATTCTTGGAATCAGAGCACTATCCAAGGCTCCAATCCAAACCAAACTTTTAAAGCCAAGATGGCAGAGTAAAATTTACTCTTAGCCTCCTTCCCCTAACTGTTGAGCAGGCTTACTGACCTCCAGTAAGAAACTGGGCATAGACAGGAACCCCACATAAGAAGGGCACATCTTAGCATCTCTCTGTACTATAGTTTCAGAGCTTTCCTATGAAACTGTGCCAAATTAGCCCATTAGAAATGCATGCTCTATACCTTATGTTCTCCCTCAATAAATGGTACAAATCACTCCAGCTAGAAGAAGTCCATCCCAGCCCTTAACTCCTTCAGTACATTATTTTTACCACTCTGATAGCACTTATATACACAGATATCTTTGTATTCCCCAATTGGCTAGCACAGTACCTGGCACATAGTAGACAATAAATGTTTGATGAATGAATAGATAAATTGTGAGGTCATCTTACTCCCTAATTGATAAAATTACCTAAATATTTTTCTTCTATGGTGCTGAAGTTTTCTTTGTTCTTCTTACTCTCTTGTGCTGAGTTACTCTTGTTTGTGGATTTTTTTTTTCATTTCTTTTGTTTTTGTAGGTTTTGTT